CTTCGCCATGTCAGCTCTCACAAACAGATCAACAGCAGAATCCGAATGGAAGAATCCCAAGGGACACTTTTGTGGCTATGTAATATGGTCTCCCCATGCCACAGTACCTGGCTGACACCACAGAATGTCATAACAACAACTGTGATTGCTGATAATATCAGTTTTGACTTACAAATACACACAAAAATACCAGGAAATTAATAAAAAACTGATTTTCTAGATAAGACGTGATAGCAAGCTTAGTGCTGAAAGTTTTTTCACCGAAAATTCAACAGATCCAGGCAGGGCAATTGATTTGCATTAAAAATCCTCATCAGAAATGACAAATTGGAAGTTTTCATTCAAAATAGATACATAATATCACTTTCTGGCTTAGAAAAAAATAATTAAAGCCATTTTACATCAAAAAGTAGATTCCACACTGCATTTTTAAGTCTACAAATTCTCATCTAAACATTCTCACAGACAACAGTTATCAGTATGTATTATACCAGTTACAGTACTGTGCAGCAACTACCGTCCATTTGTATTCAGTGTTACTAGGATACAGTCAATATGAAAATGCCTGGCATTAATATATTTCACAGGAGTTGCTTATGAACAAAACTGAGTTAGCCCAAACAGCAAAATTTCAAAATGGTGCTGTTCTAAAATCCATCTGTTTACAGAAATAGGCACTGAAAACACAACATTCAATTCTCATATTCAGATTAAATCCGTATTTTCTATTAAGAGATTGGGTTCCTTTAACATTTGATAAACCTTTCAGGTGGATAAACATTCTGCCAAAATGAACCATCCTGTCATACAAGGCATTAATAACAGTAACACGTAAAAATCCTCCCCAATTGTTTCACTGTAGACATTAGTCCATATTGACTTTTTATGTAAGTTAGATTTTGAGGTACATTGAGTAAGTTTATAAGGTAAAACTAAGTGCAATCTTAATTTTATGTTTTGGTGCCTCTTATGACACCTCGTGTCTGCTTTGACTCTTAGCAGTGGTACCATGGAAGAAAGGATGAGTCATCATTGGCTACTGGACAGAAGCAAATGTAAGAAAATTATGAAAGTGCTTGTTCACACCAGGCTGTCACTTTGGCCAGTTCATTTTAGTATCCTTAACAGAAAATTTAGGTGCAATATTTTTAACTCAGTTTTGATGTTACACAGGTTTTTGTATTAGATACTGAGGTGAATCAAATCACCTCTTCTCTGGTAGGCTGATGTCCAAAAAGCTACTTCTTTTGATATCACAGAAGAGGAAAGCAACAAGAGCAAAGAAAGGGAAGGTCAAACATGCATTCTGTTAATAGGTAAAAAGTAGAGTGGTACATGACTCATCAGATAGGCACTCCAGAGTTACGTATTTTTTTTCCCTGTCACATTTACTTCCTTTAACAGCTTCTACAGGTTTCTGTATTATTCTGTCCTTACAGTTTTAGAAAGAAAATTATATTGGGGCAAATAGTTTAGTTTTTCATCTCCAGCTTTCACGATCCAGTCAGTAAGCGTAACAATATGGTCCAAAGTTTGGTACCCAACAGACTGGGATGCAGACTGGATGAGTGGGTGAGTGGCAGCTACATTTCCACCTTCTGCCTGCGGTGAAGCCTTGGGACTCCACCCACCCTTCCAAGAAAGCTGATCCTGTCATCAGAAGTGCACACCACTTGGGAAATCTTTAAAAGGGATTACATGAGCCTAAATCATACCTCCTATCGCCCACACCTGCACACTAGAACAGCCTGAACTGAAGTTTTCCTCTTTGACCATGCAAAGGCAAAATAGTCACACAGGGCACCGGTCACTTCCCATTTTTCCCACCACTATTAATCTGCTGTGTTCTCGCAAGCCTGGAAACCTCCTCCAGCAACACCAGTAGCAGGCTCAGCAATACTGGGAGTGAAAAGGATACATGGAAAAGAGAGGGCAACACTTTCATCTTGAAGGTTGGACAGGACAGTTTAGAAAAATCTAAAATGCCACAATATAGACACTGAATTGTATTAATGTAAAAATCTGCAACCAAAAGGAACAGGCACTGGACTCCTACTAAAAGTTAAGTCATTGTTACCACAAATGAAATGAGAGTGCTTTACTGTCAGTGATGTTATTTACATTTATGCCGTAAATAATTTATTTATTCACTGAAATTTGTAAAAAGATATCTCTGTGCTCTTTGCATAAATCTCTGTGTTCCTTGCATAAATACAGTGTAACAGTTTGGATATTTATATTTGGATTAAGAACATTACTGTTTAATGTGTAACTGGAATTATTAATGTTTAAACAGTACATTTTTTCCAGTTGTCAAGTTATTATTAAAGGCAACTTGCAAATATCCCATGTAAAAATTGAAAACTGAAGAGCGGGTACTCACAGATGACTAAAATTTCTTTTCAAGCATTTAGTATTTTAAACTCACCTATTTTCTTGTGGGTTTGTATTCTCTTAAATCACCCAGAGCTTTATATTACTTAGTGCACTTTTTTCTTGGATTATGCAGAGATAATAGTGGTATCATTCATATTGTCCACATTAAAGTATGTAGCTAAATAAGAATCAATCATCGAGGAACAAGATATTTTCCAACGTTGGCATTTGGAACGGTGAGCACATCTGTCTCCACTTACATATTTTTAAATACCAGGAGATGATCTTTAAAGTGAGATACATTCGATCTGTGGCACTCTTTCTCCATATCACAGCTGTTATGCTACTTCTTATTCTCAACAAAAGGAGAATTATCAAAGGAACCTGAGGAATGTAAGTGGAAGGTTAGTGACGCACGGTGTGCAGGGCCTCCTTCCCTCTTTGGCCCTACCTGCAGTATTTACACCAGCTCAGCATGCAATGGCTACACCAAGAAGAGAACCAGAAGACTGAGTGACTGAAAGAAGCAAGAGTTGCATCTTTAACTCAGATCTACAAGTCTGATATTGCTAAGTTCTATTAGTCCAAAAAATGGGCTCAGCCTTCACCACAAACTAGAAAGCAGTCAGATATGTCCTTTCTTGCAAATCTTCAGATGCATAAAATATGTAGCTACTGCAAAGGTAATCCCGTCCACTTCTGGGCAGTGAACTTCTTGGTTAAAGTTAATCATGCCTTTAAGTGCTAAACATGCGTGTAAATCTTATCAGAATCAGGATTCTGGTCTTTATTAGACCTCACGTGGTTAAGAAAAAGCTAAACACATTTTTGGTAATCTGAAAATTATTATAAAAATAAATAATAAAACCAAAAGAAAAATAATCTGAAGAGTCAACAAGAAGGCAGGAAAAGGAGGGATGGAAACAAGCTAATACTGTGACATTAAGTAAATCTAGACTTATTCATGAAGTGGATCACTGCCTATGAGACAAAAATTAGATAATGGCTTACACTGCACAAAGATTCTGAGTGGTTAAGCAAAGGAGAAATCACAGAAAGCATGGTAACTTTTGACTGAACGGTTTTCAAATTGTTGTTTTATGTTGGCACAAAATGCTAACCAGGTCATAATAAAAATCCTGAAACTTGTCCTCCAGCACAATTATGACTGTAATGAACCACTTCCTTTTCACCTTTTGTGCCTACACGGGAGACATAGCCCTTTCCTAAGCTTTAGTCCTTTGCCAATTACATTCTTTGCAGATGCAAAATCAGGTATTTCTGAGGACTTGCTACTTAAAGTCCCTCTGTTTTAACAAAAACAGAGAAGCCCCCAAAATCAGATAATTTTTACACAGCTGTACAGAGGAACTTATGAAAAGAAATCAGATTGCAAGACCAATAGCACCATCAATTAAAATTGCCTGACGATGACTATTATATGTTCCTACTGTCAATGCTTTGGTTTTGTTTAATCGTTGGACTGACATTTGCTAAGTATATGCCTTTCACAGGCTGACTTGGAGGGGGAGGGAAATCAGCTAAAATGCATCTATTCCTGAAAATAGGCAAATAAACTGTTAAAAAAAATCTAATGGACTTTTCTTCGAAAAGCTGTTATTCTCCCAAGTTATCTAGATGCGATGACTTCTATTTGGCAGTAGAGATGGCATCTGTACTGAAACAACCCTCTGTCAGCATAATTAAAGTTCAATTTGGCTAAGCAACAGAGCTTTGGAAACCACTCATCTTGCACACTCACTAGAGAGCTCTTGCAGTTAGACAAAGGATTCCACAAGTCCCTAAATCACTAATTCTAAAATCATTAATCAGTTGGGGCTGAGCTTGGGCATTGCCTAAGCAAGCTGCCTTGTGATGCTTAAGGATGCTCTATATTCCTTGGGGACAGAAAGGGCAGAAAGTGCTGGAGCTGAAAATAAGAAGGTTGTTCTTTCCGTGCCTCAGAGAAAGATAATCTGGTGCTCCATTCTGACCACGTTTTATCCCACTATCCAGACAGATCTCTCTCAGACTTTATTTGTACCAAATTTTTGTCTGGTAGCCAGAATGTTCCCCCTTTCAGCCCTCAGATGGTGTTCCTTCAAACACAGTCACACATGAACAAAAGAAAGACATCTTTTCTTTTAGCTCTTCTCCCAAATCACACAACCCAACAGAGAAGATGTGCTCCCAACTACAGCACCAGGCCAGCAGAGACATTTCATTCATTGTGATCCAGTGTTAGGCATTCTCCATGAGTCCTGGTTTGTCAGACAGACCTTTCCTGAACAGAAGGTATGTAAATTAATTATTTTTAAATGACATTGATAGAAAGCCCTAGTACTCCAAGGAGTTTGGGTTGGATGCATCCTGCTGTCATTACCACTATATGGACAGTAGACAGACACTAAAGTTTAACGTCTTTAAAGGACTGCTGCTATGCTTTTTACATTCGAATAAAAGCTGGAAAAAGCTGCAGATCCTCACATGATCTCATTGAGCATTTAGATAGAAATTACTGATAGACAAATACTTTGTAAAATCTGGAAGAGAACTGTTAGAAGCATTTGGATCAACTTTTGACAAAAATACTATTTTAAAAACAGGGGTGCAATGGTACTTACCACATGGCAATGAGTTATCCTCTTCTATTGTCTCATTATAGTCCCAATCCTCCTTCCTCCAGCGTATAACACCACTATCTTCACAGTTCAGAGATTGCTTTATATTTGCTTTATCCCACATTCTGAACATGTACAGCTCACCAGTCATGCCCAGGTTAGGTGACGTAGCTGTACCCGGCAGCTTTGAACAGCCAAGTAAGAACTTCCCCTTTCCAGGGAAATTAACTTTCCCAGTTAGTTTTTTGTTCACTTTTTTTGTTTCATTTATGAATACCTTCATCTCCTCATCTTCACCTTTCCACTGAATACATATTTGGTTCCAAGTGTTTTCATCAAGTCTTGCTGTTGTATTTATTTGATTTCCAAACAACCATATTCTCAATTTACCGTGATCTCCTGTAAGTCCAAGATCATACTTATTTGCAGAGAGATTGGTGTGAGGTGTTTCTTGATTGTATACATATGCTGTCCAGGGACTATCTGAGGAATATAGCTTGAGGCGCACACATACAATAAATTCTTTCAAGGGATGCAGAGAAATTCTTGGTGACATAATCCAAGGATCTTTGCATGCAGTCTTAAAGACGGCTTTATATTGTCCTAAGAAATCCTCCTGATCTAAATAAAGAAAAGGTGAATTGTGAAATTATTTCATTTTTAAAAGGATTGTCTATATGAATGTTATTCTTACATATTGTACTGTTCCTATTGTACTGAACCTAGGAGTTTTCAAAACAACACATTACAAAACAACCTTGTATCCTTCTCTTTTGCTTTTTCGGTACTGGGGAAGCAGCAAATTTGGAGGCTCATGAAAGCTTAGAAGTAAAACTCACAAGACAAAGGATGATCATGTAGCTCTCTAAGGCAGCACTCAAACCACAAGTGGGAGGCAAAAAGAGAATCACAGATCCTGGTTCTTGTTCCCAGTACTGCACAGGTATTTTGCATTTGGTACTGGGTAAAATACAGAAACAGAGCCAGAAGATGGGACTACAGCCCTTACTGCCTTCTCATGTCCCAGCCTTGCATCCTCTTCTCTGAATAAGATCATGCTTCTCCATGCCATTTTTTTCCAACCTTGAGATTCTTAAATCCTCTGCTGCATACTGGCAGAGTTTCAGCAAGAAAGGTAGAAAATAGCCATATTCTAGAAGAGAATGAGTTTAGGTAGCTTTCAGGAAAAATGTTTTGGAGCCACTGTTGTTTTTAATACTTAAATCCCATCCAGCCCCCTTTCCCTGTTCTCTACCAGGGCATTTACTTGCAGAGATATCTGGTCTGTGAATGTCAAATCTACTGAGGCATTGAGATGGTGGCAACCCAGAGTTCAGCTATGGCAGTAAGTAGAATTTTAGGTGCTAACAGTAAATTTATTGGTGAAAAGAAGGTGTCAGGCTCTGTCAATGCTGATAAAATGAGCAGTGCCAGGGAATGTCCCAAACACTGGAACTTGATCATAACTTGTAAGTTCTTGCAGGTTTCTCATTTCCTCCATTGTCCCACCACAGGAAAGCACAGTTTTTTGTGGCTGCAGATGTAAGCTCTTTGGAGCTGACTCTCATTTTGTGGAAAAATGCACATTCTAAATGCACAATCATTATCATGTTTGATTGCTTTATGGTGCACTCATCAGCATATAAATAACTCCAACCTAAGAAAAACTCTTATAGGACATGAAATGGAACTACAGAAAAAATGAAACAGCCTGGTAGATGCTCAGCCAGTGCAAGAGAACACATTACTGACACCTTTAAGGAGGCATTTATCTATCAATATATGTAGAGCTTTTATGTACTCTTCAGAGGATGTGATTCATCATGATTGGTCAGGGTTGGATAGCAGGAAAAGATCAGTCAATATAGGAAGAAAGCCTTTCCATTAGCTCCTCTGTGAAAAATTTCAAAGTAACTTGGATCAGATTTATTTTCCAAGGTAGGTTACATTCATAGTCCTAATTAGCTGTCAAGATCACAGCCAGGTCTTCCATGATCTTCTCAACCAACCAGAGCATCAGCTTTCATCGGGCCAATTCTGAATCAGAAATGTGTTCAACTTTTCTGTCTCTTGACCACTGGACTTTCAAATTTCTTTCTCAATAGCAACAAATGAACAAACATGAGGAAGCTCCTAATTTCCAAGTGCAGCTCGATAGGTACAAGCTACCAGAAAAAGTTTGAAACAAAATATATAAACCAGTTTCATGGAAAATCATTGATAACTATTCTTGTTGCATACTACAGCTTTCAGACTCCTTTTGTGATGCTAATTATCAAAAACCTGTAGTTATCTTTTACAACCCTGAATCATTCCAGAAGTTCAACATACATCATGAAAGTGCCATAGAAGTCTATAGATCAAACAAAAAACTTTCAAGGTGCAGGCTGAATTAGGTGAAAATCCTAAATAGCAGACAGTGGATTCTGAATGGCAAGGTAATACTTAAAATGGTTCCACAGCAACGGAGAGGAAAAACACACTAGACGCAACTGCAAGCAGTGGCACTACGCTCCTCCCACCCAACTCTATACATCATGAATTCACACATTCAGTTTGGCCATTTGTCAGAGCCTAAAAGCAAACTCTGGGATACTCAGCTAAGAACAGTTCAGCACAGAAAACTAGTTTTTAAAACATGACTGAAAATCTGGGGTGACGAAGATTGGGCAGCAGGGGAAAGCGTCACAACAGCGGAGATTTTTAGATACAGACTCAAATGTACTTAACCTTTTTAGTAAAAGGATGACTAAAATTGAAATCAATTTGCTACCTTCAAGTTAGGACAGATCATGAGGAAACTGATTTTACAAAGGAAACAGCTAGCTAGATGTACAGTTATATGCCAACACTTTTGACAGTCTCTCCAGAGAAAAATAATTGCTGAAGTCTTTCATTATTAAGTAGGAATTACGCTGAAGGTTTTGAAAGACTTGATGCAGCTGCTGTTCCTCAGAGACCATATGTCAGAAGTGTATTTGCATGATTCTTATACCCTCCAAAATCCGTGTAAGCAATCTTGAGTGTGCAGATGGCCAAAGTGATCAATTAAGGAAGTTTCCTGACATAGCTTCAAAACTTGAAGTCACTGTTAGCTATCCAGATTGAAAGACTGAAAGTCCATTCATGAGCAAAAACGTTAATCAAAACTTGAGGTACCATCAGCAGACTTGATTTTGGAAGTGAACAAATTCTGAGAGAGGTCTGATTTCATGGTAAGCATTAAGTCAGTGTTTATGTGCCAACAGTGAATTAAATAAAGGGCTGCAAAATCCTACTACATTCTTTAGGGGAACTGACACTACAGAGTTGTCAAGGGAGACAAAGTGGACATAAACTTGTAGGTAACCAACAGAAATGTTGCAAAACGAGACTAATTCTGCTGATGATTCTCCTAGTCTGTTTTTTATCACTCAGGAAGACTGCTGTTGATCAGTATGCAAGGCCTGATAAATTAATTTAAACTAACAGAAGAGTTTAGACAGTTCTACCCTTCTGGAAACTGGAAAGTCTGGCCCATTTTGCTCTAAATAGTTCAAGAAAAAAAAAGGTGCCAAAGGGGTACCAAAGTTAAGAAAATAGATACCAATGCTATCTGAATTGATACAAGAAAGGCTTGGGAAATTTTGTATGGTTTGCCTACCCAATGAAGACTGAAAAAGCACAAAAGAAATTGTAACTATAGTCAGAAAACGCACTTCACTGTTCGAAGTGGAACACATGCAGTACAGTGTTAAATTAGTTAAATTAATTATCAACATCATCTTGGCTTAGTCTGTTTGATATGTGGGTGGATGCAACGTAAGTAGGAAATAGCATTACTTTAAAGCTTTTGGAAGTTCTGTTAATCATCACTTATTTTCTTTAGTAATGGTACTTGTGGGCTGTGGCCCACCCTTGACCACAGAACCAAGGAGCTGGAACTGGCTGTGCTCTGACAGTGGCATTCCTGGCTTACAATTAGTTCCTTTGGGTCCAGACAGTACAAATCACACTCAGACACCTAGCCATGAACATACCTTTATCACTACAGCACAGAAAAGGTAGCATAGTAGAAAGAATGCTCAAAACATCTCCCGAGTAAGAAAAATAAGCAATTATCACAATTTGGAGTCAAGGAAACTCCATGCAATAGTAATTATGGGCTGACTTTTCAGTATCATTTATTGTATTCAAGCACTTAACCTCTTTCAGAAATGCAAATTGTTCCTTCTTAACATATTTATCTCTAATAGATGCAAAACCTGAGGGTTTTACCCTCACTAAAACTAAGAGCATCCACTTAATAAGTGTGTTCTCTTTAGCCCTAAAAGAAATCCTAAAATGTATGCACATACTTTCAAACATTTAAAATAAACTTTCTGAGAAAGACAAGGTAATGCAAATGTAAACCAAAAATGTAACATTTTTTGCAAACATTTTCACATAGTAATTGATAACTTTATAAGAAAGAGCCAACCGTACGTAGTAAGAATTAGACATAAAGGAGCAGATCTTCTACATAAGCACCGGTGTTATTTTCCTTACATTACTAATAGCTACTCTATCAGTATAGCTAAGCATTAATACAGTTGAGTATTCTCTTGAATAAGAATAGTCACAAGTTTATGTATCTGCACAATCTGGCTTTTACCAGTAACAACAATAGTCATTAATTTGTATGCAAGTGTTTGCCACCTGTAACACATTTGGCTTGCTACAGTCCATTAAGATGACATCACGAGAATCTTGCATCCTAACGTATTCTGCCTAGAGCTCATAACTTTTCTTCATGAAAAGTTTAAAACTCTAAACTTTCTACATGTGGGTCACTTGATTCTGCTGAATGTTTTGGCAATATGAAGCTAAGACCTATTTCCTCAAAATTCTTTTCAACCCTCCTTTTCATTCGCCACATTATCCAGAGTGTCCTAAACATCGGAAAGAACACAGGCATTTCTTCTCTCTTCATATTTCCTGGATAACACAAACATACTTTGGCACCTTAGATGAGGAGAGAACTGAGTAGAGATGCTGCTGACAGAGCTAACAGGCTAAAAAAACAAACAAACAAAAAAAAGGCAGAACCATAAATAAACCCTTGCATTATTTTAAGTTTTCCTGAAGGATTACTGACACTTGCAAGTGATATGTAGGTGAAAGACAAAATCCCTGCTTCCTCAGAACTCTAGATGCAGTTGAATTTTCCCTGGGAAAATTCTTGTATGACATACACCCATATGTTGAGAAGTCCTGTCATTTTTACTATTTAGACTACATGAGGTTAACACCTTACCATCTTAGTAACAGTTTTATCACCTGAATCTCAAATTCTGTCTCAATGAAAGCTTCATTTTATGAAAATGACTACATTTGGAGAATTAGAATAAGAATTAGTCCAGTCTGTAAAGCTATGAAATTTCATTCCTAGTACAATGTCATTAAGCAGGCATACTTACAAAAACTACAAGAAACTCTGACCTTCTGGAGTAAAATAACATGCCATGACATAGGAAGCAGTTTCTAAAACTAGCCATTAAGTACATGTCAAAAAACACTTCTAATTTTTTACTATTCCATGCACATTACCAACACTTATTATTGTTACTGATAAATGTAGCACACATTATTGATATAAGGAAGTTTTATGAATGACAGATATTGTTATTTATATCAGTTGAGGTCCAGAGTAGTGACAGACTTTTATCTGCCAGCTTACAGAATAGCCACAAATAAAACACAAATTGCTGATTCTACTGTACCTCATACATGTCAGTTACCCAATTTGTACAAGAACCTTATGCATTTATTTTTCATTTACTGTCTATAAAGAGCATAGACTGTCAAATGCAAACACTTAATTTCTGCTACATGTTTTAGACCTTACGACCTTTTCCCTAGGCATATTCAGATCCACAACCAAGAGCTACGCAGGAGATATTCTATGCTCATACATGCACTAAGTAGAGTGAAGCTTAAAGAGTCTTGTGGTGTTTGTGTAAGAGCAGTATAAAAGATTTAACAACATGTTCTGAAAATAGTAACACTTTCAATTTAAAAAAATAGCAGGAGAGTAATTTGTCTTGTTATTACACATTGTGTTTACGTTCTTTCCTCATCTATAGCTGAAAAGAAGTTACTATTGCTGATTTTTATGAAAACAAATACATAGGGTATAGAAATCCAAAGTGCTAAGCACCAATGGTTTCATTTCTTATTAATGGCACTTTTTCATCTTGGTTTCAAGAGGGCAGAAACCTGCCTGTTCTGAATATATTCAAAAGTCCTGTTCATCAAGACTAATGTTATTTATTTTGAATACCAACACTAGATAAATCAGGAAAAAATTGTGTTACCTTTGCCTGCTGTAGCCAGGAACAAATGAAGTAAAAGGACTGCTAGAACAATCCTGAATCTCAAGAAAATGTCCTGTATTCGGCCAACACAGCAGTGCTGTTTTCCCCAGGCAACCATTCTAGAAGAAAAAATAAATAAATAAACCACAATGACTAAAAAAAGTGCAGATGTGCAGATATTATGACAATTTACGTTTCCAGCCCAAGAGTGTAAATCTTTTCAACCCTGTTACACTGTTTGGTATATATCATACAGAAATGCACAAATACACTGTATATTGCCAGGTTACCAAGAAAGAAAGAGCTGTTTGCTGAAAGGAAAAAAAAAAAGAAAACCAAAAGAAACCCCACACAAGCTCTAATTCTCCAAAGACTCACAAATACATCAAAGCATGGCCATGAGTCCTTGTACAAATAAGGCTTTCAACATTTGAAAAATCAACCAATCAACAACAACAACAAAAAAAAAAAAAATAAAAACAAACAAACAAACAAACCACAACAACCTACAAAAAGCAGCCAGAGAGCAAGCTTGGAGACTGTATCCAAAAGCTTTGTTAATCTCAGTAAGTACATAGAAAGCATCTCTTCAGTTCTCTACCCACAGGTTCTGTCATCTGACATTTTAATAGCAACACTGTGAACTCCTAAGGAAGAAGTAAGAGTTTGATTCCTGATCCTCATCTTATTCTCAAAGCAAGAAACTACTGCAAAAAAAACTGAGAAATGCCACAAGTCACTGTGGGCAGCAAATTCATGGAGAGTATCACGAAAACCTGGCTTCTCCACAGTTCTGCTTAGTGATGGTTGCTTAAGTGAGCAACATGACATGGTGGTGGAAAAAGAATATTGCTCCTACTATAAGAGATAAAGTTCTGTGAAATTATATACCTTTTTAAAAGAGATCTTTCCAAAAGAGGTATATCTTCTTAATATTTTGTATGATGAAACATTAAGTGAAATGTTCATGTGATTTTTGCATGCGTTACTTCTTAAATAAAAAGGTTTAGAGATAGTTACAAGTGATTCTATAAATGATTCTTGAAACAAATACACAGCAGTAAACTTTGTGTAATGTTTATCTTTAATGTATCAGCTTTATGGTAGACCAGAGCATTCTGCATGACACCAGAAGTTTAACTTTGCCATCAAATTTGGTGCATGTGTGGGCGTATCAGCAAGCATTCATACTGCTCACGAACTTTATTGTATTTTTATACATGCTGTATCAGGCTGCAATAGTTTCCCTTCTTTTCTCGGACTGCAAATTGTGAACTCTTTCAAGAGTTGTAAATTCATGTTCAGGTTATAGCTAAATTGTATTTTTTGTAAGCATTCACATTAATGTAAGTATTTCATAGCATAAAATGGTTACTATAGGCTGGGCTCTCCAAGAGCAGTGCTAGAGGAATAAACTGAGAAACAGTGAAGTTGCTAGGTAGTTGACATTTTGGAAACTGATTAAATGTGCATGCAAATAAATTATATAATAACGTAACATAGAAAACATAAAGTAAAGGCTTTTTAAAAACAGAGAACTGAAACACTGTTGCCAGACAGCGTTTTCAATAATTACATAGTATGTGATATTTCTAGCAGAAAAATAAAATCATATTGATTGCACTGAAACAGACCAATCTGGATGATGACACATACTGCTTCCACTTTGCAGATTCTGGATGCTATATTTAAAATTGAAGTACACTAAGGAAGTAACAGTCAAACTGTGGCAATATCATGAATGACATCTGCATGGGTGCTGCAGATGTTAACCTGCAGGAAGAAAGGCTATTGATAAAAGGAATACAAAAATCAAACATACTAAAGATGAGAGAAAATAAATGGTGTAACAATGGACATAGCTAATACACATAATCCTATGCAGGAATAGACCAAAACCAAACAAAAACAAGTAAAAGGAGCAAGAAATGTCAAAGACGGGCTAGCTTTCTTAAGATTCACAGGCAACATGTCCAAATCTGTCTTCAGCTTGCTTCTCTTGCATGCTAAAAAACTATGTATTAATAAAGCTGTTCAGTCAGCAAACTAAGTAGCAGAATTACATAAGTTATCCTAAGAACCTGATAATGAAAACTGCCATGCTTAAATCTATTTGACAACTTCAAGGACTGTGCACCTACAATATAATTTACCAGGGTTAGAAGATGCCTATCCAAAAGCTGTGCTTCCTTTCTTTGCCTACTCACGCTTCCCATTCTTGTCTCAAATTATGTCACTTCCAAGCAAAACCAAGCTGCACATCTATTCCTTCCTTTTATGGGGACATCTCTTCTTTTGTACAGTAAACCCTCTATCCATAGTGATGTATTTAGTCAACAAATCAAACAAAAATTCCAGAATCCTTTGCCTCTACTGTCTAGACATCAAGAGTTGAAATGTGAATGGGATGTATCCCAAAAATACGCAGTGGCACCCACAAGTTTAGCCATCAATGCTGGTTAAGTACTGAAGCAAAATGGTTGCTCTGTGTCATACATGCTGATTCAGAATGTTTCTACATTCCCTGCATTTAGTTTCCTCCTCAAGCCTCAGTTCTGCAAAGAGATATACATGAAATGAGCTGACTAGGATAAAGGTTTACTCCCCTACCATCAAGAGTGCCTTCTATTTGGTCCAGTATACCTCATTAGACAATCATGTTAGTGCCCCATCCACCAGAAGTAACAACTGCATTCCAAGAGTCTAAATTTGAGGGCAGGAGCCAAGAAATTCCTCGTTCAGACTCCAGCTCTGCCTGAGTACTATGATGTTCCTCTAACTCAGGCCTTCAAGAGTGAGCTTTGCTAGTATTTGTCCAATGTTAAAATGAAATAAAATACTTTCAGCACATTTAGGTTTCTACCCCCTCTGTTTTTTTTTGACATTGTTCTCATTTCCTGAGATGGGCCTAACAAAGAAATGGGGACAGAAGCACATACTCTTGTTGGTAAAATACAGTCACATCAAGAACTCTGAAGCTATTGAAACCTATGAGCGCAGATTAACGGTCCCAGGGACAGCAGGAAAGTGAGTAAATGTATAAAGCAACATCCTGACATGGTCACAGTTCAACTGACTTTCTACAAGAATTTGGACATTTATGCTAGTTCAAGATTTGTTCCAATGTCCAGATAAAAAATACAATTAAGAGTAAGGAAAACAACCTCAGTGTTTCTTCCTTTTTGCAACAATGCTGTTTAGACGCTATCAAAGGAAAAGATGGTGCTAAGACTGATAGATATTTTTAGATTTTTTTTTAAAAAAGCAAGACATGAAATATCATTTCACCATATCTTTTGAAATAAAGACCATATGGTACATTCCGAAACATCTGGATATTATGTTTCTCTTAAATTTATTTAAGCCCTTCTTTGTATTGGAATTCTAAAGCTCTACTCTTAATAGTGACCCTGAAAAGTAATGTAATTGTAAATATATAGTTGTGGACATTACAGAATTAGCCATAAGTGATTTTTTTCATTTGTTACCAATTTTGTTCATTTGTTCAAATGAACAATTTTATTGTTCATTATAATAGATTAATACAGCATGACTCAGAGAGCCCAGCATGAACCTGCATAGTTTTTACAGTAGGATGAAAAAATGTCACTTGTAAATCAGGCAAATCTAATCAAGTACAATAGCTACTGGGCACAACTGCTGAGCCACCGAAGTGTGGGAAAGAATTCTATGCACAAGCTGCATGTAAAGATATAACTGGCTGTCTTTGCTTTCTCACTTACTATTCTCAAATAACAATTAAGTTACTTCCATTTACAAAGAGCTAACTGCCTGAAGTAGAAGAGAATATAATCAGTTACTTTTCTTTATCGTCGATAAAATGGAAATTCAGAAAACAGGAGGTAAGGGCTCTAGGCATAAATCTATTCCCTCTTGTTTGCTCTCCACGAAGAGTGTTCTATTTTGACCAGTGAGAATTTTGTAGCATTGGTACCTCGGCTCACAACATCTCATACTATGTCATTAACTTGGAAGTGCAACCAGAATTGATAGAACTTTTTTTAAGACAAATGAACAAACGTACTTCAAAAAATTAGATGGTTGTTTTGCATGTTGTATTATACATGTTGCAGTTCTGCATTAATATCGCATTCTCTGGAAATTAAAGAGGTTACTGGAAGTGAAGACAGGAAGATGGTATAAAGAGGAGTCTGTATTCTTATAATTAGTGTTAATGAGCTTATGTCTTGCTATCTTACTATTTTTTTGATGGAACAGTCCTTCAACACAATGGGAGTTTTACCTGCCTAAAGAGCACAGAGTTTCTGCAGGAGAAGTTACTGAAATCTAACAGGTTGACTGAGACAAACACTGTGACAGGGAGCCTGCTGCAGAAGGATGGGCAGAATAGAGGGATGAAGGTCAGCATGCCAACAGCAACTTACAAGAGCAGGCAAGAAAACTGTCAAAACCAAGGCCTGTAAGCTTTTTACTGTTTACTCTGCTGCACCCAGCTTTGTACCCCTGAAAGATGAGTAACATTATGTGAAGTTGGTGTTTTTAAAGCCCTTCACCTAGCAGGTCAGTCAGAAATATCCACAGTGAAATGACTTTGAGGTGTCCCAGGAAGCTGGCCTTGTGTTACAAACACCAGTGGAAGGCAGAGGAGATGGAGTCCATGCCTCTGCAACCAGCCTCAAGGGGAACTGCATGGTGCAGCTCCAAAGTGCAGTGTGAGCAACCTGGACTGCTTTCCAAGTGTGCACCCACAGGTGACATATCAAGAGATACAGGGCTTACCTTAAGCCATTTGCTTGCCTTGCATTACAGCAGACAGATTTTCAATAGCCTTAAAGGAAGTGCAAAACATAAATACAGCTGTTCTATGCTGTAGTATACTTTGTTAAAACACTTTTTAAAAAATACATTCAAATTTTATGATTCTTGTTGAATATACCTATTTACAGTCAGTCTTTAAAATTTAAAAAACTATTAGTTCTTTCATGCCAGGTTTTAGCCAGAGAAAGTTCTCACTGCCAATGCATAAACTGTTTGTAACAGAAACACGCTGGAAACCATGACACAAAGCAATCAACCACTGATTTCTAACCATGCTGTTTACTGCTGAACTTCAAGCTGTTTTGTTCAAGTCACACTT